TAACATAACAGAAGTAGAAAAATCTTTCTGCTGGTTGAAACAAAGAAAACGTTATGGCCAAATTAAGACGAAAAATCCCCCCAGAGTGAATGAAAACATCCCCAACACAACATAAGGGTTAATAAATGCTGTACAAGTGTTGTGTTCATTAGTAGTTCAGGTTAGTAAATACATTGATTAATGAAACCTAATTGTGACCAACAATTCATCTAGTCAAAACAGACACTAAATGCACATAGGCTACAGCTTTTGAATGTTTTATAAGGGTGCAAATAAAATATGATCCATTTAAAAGACAATAAATATTTAACATGTGTTTAAAATCTTAAAAATTGCATTTGTAATACAAGGACAGACTTGCACATTATAACTGGAAACACCGATCTAGCATTTTATTTCAAAATATGATGCTGGCATATTTATTTGACTAAACCATTAATATATGTTTACATAGCATAGTCTATAATACAATGAATGTGAAACAACAGATAGTCATTTCCAAATAAAAGCCAAAAAACTCATTTGTGTAATAATATGCCTTCCAAACGACAACATTACAGCCCTGCTACTGTATACTCAAAACGACATACTTATAACCAACTAAATACGCTACAGGCTTTTATATTATGAAAGACTCCTTGCACGTGACAATGAGTTAGCATTTTAAATATCGTTTTAAACTCAAAACTTTTGAATGTACATTTAACTCAACTCGACAAACCTGCCAGCAAACCAATACACACAACTTCTCAGAAACAGGCCAGTTGCATTTTTTTTTCTCAGAACAAAAGCTCTTTTTCTGCTGTCTAGGTTTTGACAGAGTACAGTGCCTCAAGCCTCATCATCTCCTGGAGCTGCTACACAAAGCCAGAGTTGTGTATGCACACGGACAGAGTCCTGAAGCATCGCAGTTTGAAAGGTCAACCCAACCACCAAGCAGCCAAGCAGACAACAGCAAGCCATTCGCACGTGGAGCTCAAATCTGATGGTATTTAAAGTCATCTGTTTGTGGAAAACATTTGCAGGGCTGTCTTGCCGAAACAATAAGTACAGTGCTGCCATGCAACGAGTAATAATGCATTTAATTCACTCACATGAAACTATCAGAATGGGTCACAAAATGATTTTTTTGGTTGAGAAATTAATTCAGCTCCATTTTCAAGTGGTGAATACTGGAAGTTTTGACATTATATGTTTTGTATACATTTCTTACAATGATATTTCCAAATAAACTTTCTCCTCAGTATTAAAAAAAACTATATATGAGCATTATTCATAATACATTGTAAAAAAAAGTAGTTTCTAAATTTACTTTGACTTAAACACGTATTCCAATTCTGGTTTTTGCAACACATTAAAAAACGTTAGAACAGAAGAAGTTTAGGGCTAGTAATCAGGTAAATTGGTTAAATAATTATGTGATTTAAAACAGCCGATGTCATCAGTTGATTGTAATTATGATTTGGTACAATAGCAGCATCCAAGAAAGGTCTTGTCCTTCAGAAGCAAAGATGGGCAGAGGATCGCAAGTTTGCCAACAAATACATGAGAAAATTATTGAAATGTTTTAATAATAATATTCTTTAAAGAAAGATAGGAAGATATTTGGATATTTCACCTTCAACATAACATATTTAAAAGATTCAAGGAATCTGGAGGAATTTCAGTACGTAAAGGACAAGGGCAGAAGCCTAAGCTGAACAGCCATGATCTCTGATCCCTTAGGTGGCACTGCATCAAGAATCGTCATTCATAAGCGATATCACCACTTGGGCTCAGGACTACTTTGACAAACCTTTATCAAGTACCACAATATCTAGTTACATCCACAAATGCCAGTTAAAACTGTACTGTGCCTATATGAAGCCCTATGTTAACAGTTAACAGTGGCTCAGAGGCATCTGGGATGAACCATCACACAGTGAAAACATGTACTGTGGTCAGATGAATCAGTATTTCAGGTATTTTTGGAGAGAAATTGATGCTCTGTGCTCTGGATCAAAGAAGAAAAGGATCATCCAGACTGCAGCAACAAGTCCAAAAGCCAGGGTTTTTCATGGTAAGGGGTTGTGTGGATCGCCAGTTTGCCAACAAATAGATGAAAAAATTGTTGAAATATTTTAAAAATAATGTTCCTCAAAGAAAGATAGGAAGACATTTGGATATTTCACCTTCAACAGTGCGTAAAATATTTAAAAAATTCAAGGAATCTGGAGGAATTCAGTACGTAAAGGACAAGGGCAGAAGCTGAACAACTGTGATCTCCGATCCCTCAGGTGGCACTGCATCAAGAATCGTCATTCATCTATAAGCGATATCACCACATGAGCTCAGGACTACTTTGGCAAACCTTTATCAAGTACCACAATATGTAGTTACATTCACAAATGCAAGTTAAAACTGAACTGTGCTAAAAGGAAGCCCTATGTTAACAGTGTCCAGAAGTACCGATGACTTCTATGGGCTCAAAGGCATCTGGGATGGACCATCACACAGTGAAAACATGTACTGTGGTCAGATGAATCAGTATTCAGATGAATCAGACACCGTGTGCTCTGGACCAAAAAAGAAAAATATCATCCAGACTGTTACCAGCAACAAGTCCAAAAGCCAGGGTCTGTCATAGTATGGGGTTGTGTCAGTGCCCTTGGCAAAGGTAACCTACACTTCTGTGATGGCAACATTGACGCTGCAAAGTACAAAGAGATTTTAGAGCACAATATGCTTTCTTCTTTTTCAGGGACACTCATGTATATTTCAACAAGACAATGCAAAACCACATTCTGTACACATTACAAAGTCCTGGCTGCGGAGAAAGAGGATACAGGTACTTGACTGGCCTGCCTGCAGTCCCGACCTGTCTCCAAAAGAGAATGTGTGGAGCATTTTGAATCTTGAAATGCAACCACGAATTCCCTGTACTGTTGCCCACTAAATACTTAATTCCAGGAAGAATGGGACAGAATTAGATCTGAAACACTTCCACACTTGGTGTCTTTAGTCCCTAAATGTCTTTTAAGTGTTCTGAAAAGGAATGGCAACATTACAAAGTGGTAAATGCCTTACTGGTCCCAGTTTTTCTTTAAATGTGTTGGAAGAGCCAAAATTTAAATACGTGAGTATTAAAAAATAATCATGAAGAAGGAAGACTTTTTATACCTCTTTATTAATTTTATTTTATTTATTTTTAGTTTTCATGTATATTTTCATAAATAAAAAGTGGTAAGTGCAGTAAAAACATGATAATATTTAAAACATTGACATTTTTACACATTCATTGGTTAATCAGAAGTTGCTGATCAGATGCAGTATGGTTTTAGTTTAAATAATATTAATTATGACTGTTCTATCAAAACATGCTGAGACGTTTTCAGTCTCAAAGGGAATCGTGAGCTTGAACGTTGATCATGACGTTAAAACCCGTAGACAGGATCATGTCCCGTCACCATTTCAAAGCAGTCCTCCTAAATATCCGAGGAATGAGAACGGCTAATTATGAGCATTCTTGGTTGAATTAAAACTGAGTGTGTGTGTGGCAGAACTGTGTTTGCCTTTGTCTTCGTATCTTGAGCTGATTCTTTGCTTATTTCTGGTCGGGTCAGAGGTACTTCAGCTAATTAGGGGTTCACTCATTCTTTGGACAAACCCATTTGGGCTTAATGATTTCACTTTTCTGCTTCGGCAGTCTCTGCCTGGTACCTCTCAAAAAAAAAAAAAAAAGTTTGTCTGCCTTGTGGAGACATGGACTAATCTATACAAAAGACCTTGATCTCCTGTAAAACTCTTTACAAACATTATTACTATATTTAAAGACAATGTGCGACTATGTTTTGCTTACATTATGAGAACTAAACGTCCTCACAGGGATAGTAAAACATGAGATTTACTTTGAGGAAGCAGTGGTCATTAAAAATACAAAATGATGTTTATCTGAAAATGTAAAAATGCATTAAGTTTACTCTGTGGTTTAGGATTATCTGTAGGCTTAGGTTTAGTGAAAATATGTGTCCATTGTAAAAGCTGTATAAACTTGAGTGTGTATGTTACAGTTCTTAAAACAGCACAGCATATTATCATGTTATTTAAAGCAACAAAACAATCTGTTGTAAACTTTTTATGAGCCATATACAGCATTTGCATTGCCATAGAAGAGTCTTTGCATATTTTAAGGATCCAAACATTATATTTTTATTACAGCAACTTAGAAATGCATGTCTGTCATCTTTGGCTTGCTTATAGTTGGGGTTAGTAGAGCTGCCCACACAGTGAATCACATTCTATAACAGTGACCGACCTTTATATGGACCTCAAATGAATCATCATGAACCAAACATAGAACATAATCAGCAGCCTGTAAAGGTGAATGTGCTTGATGAAGTTATTTAGCATTGACGAAACTTGATATTTGATTTTAGCCTGTTTTCTCTGTAAAGCTCCTTTGACACGATTTGCAATGTATAAAGAGTTACACAAATTATGACATTGCTTGAGTTGTATAAAGCAAATCAAACTTGTGGATTTGACTAATATTACACCTGCAGATATAACGGCTCCCTAAATACAATCCTCATCAAAGAGGACCATGCTGGTCTCAAACAGAAGCATAAAAGAAGTATAGAAATTATGGGGAAAAACTTAATTAATACTAACTTGTAGGGATTTATCTAGTAACATCCCAAATGTGCACTGAAACCCCGCCAAAAGACTTTGACGATTTGTAGTTTCTCTTTTCAGTGCTTTAAATACTTTCAAAAAACTTTAAATATTCTAGCTAAATTTTAAAGAGTAAAAAAAAAAAAAAAAAAAATGTTTCCACTATAAATCAAACTGAAAATGGATTGCATTTTTTAAAGCAAATGAATTTCATCAAATTCCTAACTGCTCAAATTACCTTGAAACTACAGCAAATCAAGTAAAGCAAGTGTGTCATTGGCTATAACCATCACAAGATTATTACAGTATATTCTCAACAATTTTACAAATAAATGAGAAATCCTTACCAGATCCTTTCAGCTAGTTCCTTTCTATCAGAAGGGCCATTTTTGCCGCCAATGAAACCACTCTGTGCCTCTGTTCAAGAGATTCTCACTATCTGCTTGTGTAGTCAACTCGGACCTACCAGAAATCAAAGCCATGAAAATACGTCAATGTAGTGGAGCAAATAGGATTAAACATTTTGAACGCCAAAAGTCTGGAAACGGAGCACAAATTAGGAGAGGAATTCACTGAGTACAGATAATCCCCCCTATGGATTTAACACAGTTTAGTCTTTTAAACCAGTATTATTTAGCCGAAGACACAGGCCGTGGAATTTTCTCTGGAGGCCGAGATCCTACAAATGAGATTGTCACTGCAAATTCAACTATTTTCCGAGCTTTATTAAGTCTCTGTCCAAAAGCGAACAACTTAGCTGTCATTTGTAGAAAACTGGTCAAAAATGTACCAAAGCCTTACCTTCAGTGCATCAATGGTAATTCCATCATCTAGTGTTGGGATCCTTCTAGCATGAAGATCTTCAGATGATGTGGTGCTTGTTTTTTCTCAAGATTTTTTTCCTGGCATCATCTGCAGACAGAGAGAAATGGTTGATCTCATTTTCAATTAGATATACCGTGCACGAACACATAAAATACACACCGAAAGTGAAACACATGAATACCAAAAGTGCACATGGCAGAGAAACACATGTCAGAACTTTAAAAATCCTCAGAGAGCGCTTATATGAATGACAAAAAGGAACAAATGGGAAAATATGACCAAAAAGTGGTGCAACAACATCCACTAGGAAGTAACAAGAGGAAGTGACAAGAGGAAACTCAAAGTGTGGAAAAAAGACTATTTTAGAGAATAAAAATCAGTTTTGTGCAAATAATTAGATTTAAGCTGTTCATTAATGCATAGACATTATAAATAAATTATTTTACTTCCTTTCATTAACATGATTCAAAATTATATAAATTAAACAGGACCATTTAAATCTGAAAACCATAAATATATTGGTTTAAATATTTTACCCAGAGAAATTTATCTTTTTATTGTTCACTCAAAAGTGAAAATTAATTTACTCACCCTTTACTTAACTGTTTGATTTTCTTTCTTCTGTTGAACATGTAATTAAATATTTTTATTTGTATATAATATTTAATTACAGGCTTTTAGCGTTCTTCAAATTATCTTCTTTTGTGTTCAGCAGAATAAAGAAACGCATAAAGATCTGGAACCACTCATAGGGTCAGGAAATAGTGATTAAATTTTCATTTTTGGATGAACTGTCCCTTTAATGGCAGACTGGCCTCCACCTGATGAGTCAACATCCTTTTTAAGCAAGACAATTGAAATATCAAGATTTAAAAAAAAATCAATTCAAGTCTCAAAACATTGTTTTATTTCAGTTGGGCAGCATACATTTATGGAGAAAACTAAATGGCTAATTGTGCATGTAACATCTCTAAACATCTCTAAACATATTATATATGTTATTGGTTGAAGGAACATTCCTGTTTTTTGACAGTAGGCTCCTTTGACAGGTCCTCCAGCCCAGAGTTAAACAGTTGAATTTTGCCATTTTTGAATCCAGCCAACTGATCTCCTCGTCCAGCGGTAGTATACTTTTAGCTTAGCTTAGCATAGATCATTGAATTTGATTAGACCATTAGCATTTGCTCAAAAAACACTACATTTTTCTATTTCAAATTTGGCTGTTCTGTAGTTACATTGTGTACTAAGACTGAAAGAAAACGAAAAAGTATTACTCATTTCAGTGTAATAATCAAGGAATTTTGCTGCCGCACATGTCTGCAGCAAGCACAGTGACATAACACAGTTGCAGAATTATTTTTTACACATTTTTTCATTCATTTTCTTTTCGGCTTCGTCCTTTTATTAAGCCAAGGTCGCCACAGCGGAATGAACCGCTAACTTATCCAGCACATGTTTTGCGCTGGATTTCACAGACAAATCAGCTTACCCAATTCACCTGTACCATATGTCTTTGGACTGTCGAGGTAAACGGAGCACATGCAACCTCCACACAGAAATGCCAACTGATAAATAAAAAAAAACTAAGCCGAAAAAAAAAAAAAATATATATATATATATATATATATATATATACCTTGTCAGGCATATTTAGAATTAGAATAACTTGGCGACAATCCATTATTGCTACAATCCTTCAAACCACTTTAGTTTTATCTAATTTTTGGTAAGAAGTTTTGAATAATTTATAATACAATAAAATCAGTATGATCGCTTATTCTTTTACATATTTTAATGAATGCACTAGCAGTTAAAACTTTAGTAACTTTCAGTAATAGATTTCAGGAAAATCTTTCAGGATCAGAAATCATTTGATCATGTTATTTTGTCAAAAATATGACAAAACAGCAATATTGTGAAATAGTGTTTCAATTAAAATGTATTTTACAGTGCAATTCATTTCGAAAAAAATTTAGCACAAAACAATCTCATCATCAGTGTCTCCAGTCAAGTAAAGGCATTTATGTTACAAAAGATTTTATTAAACAAATGAATGCTTAAATTTGCCAATATGTTGTTTCATTTAATCTAATTACAAGTTAAACTGATGGTGCAGTGGGTAGCATGATCGCCTTACAGCAAGAAGGTCGCTGGTTCGAGCACGGGCTGAGTCAGTTGCTGTTTCTGTGTGGAGCTTGCATGTTCTCCCCGTGTTGATGTGGGTTTCCTCTGGGTGCTCCGGTTTCCCCCAGAATCTAAAGACATGCGCTATAGGTGAATTGACACAGTCCAAAGACATGTATAGGTGTTGTATGTGTGTGAATGCAAGAGTGTATGGGGGTTTCCCAGTACTGGGTTGTAGCTGGAAGGGCATCCTCTGAGTAAAACATATGCTGGATAAGTTGGCAGTTAACTGATTAATAAAGGGACTAAGACAAAAAGAAAATGAATGAATAAATGAATGAAAAGTAATTTGACACACTAGGGAGTAAGATTTACTATGAATCTTTTGTATGTAAAATCACTTCTAAAGGACATCATCTTTGACCCATTTAGAAACTTATTTACATACAAATATATTTATATAAACTTATTTAACTGCTGTTAGTGAAAGGAGGTGATGCTTGATGCTTGAAAGCCAACAGAACCTGTCCAAACAACCTGCCAAAGCAAACTATTTGTGTTACATCTACTGTAGCTGTACCGCATTAAACAGCATGTTTTAGAGTTCAAAACTGGCTCCTGAGTGGAAAATTCCAGCCGCTGTTATTCTGAGTTCTCTCTCTGCACTTTGTGGCGAGTATGAAACAGGAAGGATGGAGCATGACGTGTTTCCAGACTTTAAATGATTCTGAAATTGTGCCCATTTCTGTGACAGGTTGCTGCATGCTCTTTCTCCTCCCTGAATATTGCAAAGTCTGATGTTGGCCTGGCACCAATAAAAGTCAAGTTCGAGGAATGATGTGGTTTAAAAATTTGCAGATAGATATAGGTGATCATTGTACTTTTGCAACCATTGTGAATAACTCGACAGCCAAAACATAGAATTTAAAAAAATGAAACACAAGAGATAAATTATGTGATCAAACTTATGAAACTACAGAGTAGAAATCGAGACTCATCAGACCAGGCAACACTTTTCCAATCTTCTACTGTCTAATTTTGGTGAGCCTGTGCTGACAGGAGTGGCACTCGGTGTGGTTTTCTGCTGCTGTAACCCATCCGTCTCTACGTTGAACAAGTTGTGCTTTCAGAGATGCTCTTCTGCATACCTCAGTTGTAACAAGTGGTTATTTGAGTAACTGTTGACTGGAACCAGTCTGGTTATTCTCCTCTGACTGCTGGCATCAACAAGACATTTGCACCCACAGAACTGTCGCTCACTGGATAGTTTCTCTTTTCGAAACATTCTCTGTAAATCCTAAAAAATGGTTGTGCGTGAAAATTCTGAAATACCAACAGCCATGCCACGTTCAAAGTCACTAAAATCACCTATTTTCTCCATTCTGATGCTTGTTTGAACTGCAGCAGATCGTCTTGACCATGTCTACACAACTAAATGCATTGATTTGCTGCCTTTTGACTGGCTGATTAGAAATGCGTGTTAACGATCAGAGAGATGTACCTTATAAAGTGGCCAGTGAGTGTAAATAGCTGGCCTATTTTCCCTGCCTCTAGCTTAGTAATGAATGGAGAGTTTTTTTTATTGTTTTTGTTTTCCTTTTTTTCAAAAAAAAAATTTTTTATTAATTTATTTTCTACTGCTGTACCTTTTGCATATTTGTATTTATATATTTTCTGTATTGCTATAAGATATGTATTGCTATAATTGCCTGATTTGTGTTAGTTTTATTGATAATGTTATTGTATCCAATCTTTTTTATTTGTGTTTTGTGCTTTTTAAATTGTTCTTATTGCAAGAATATATTATTGTATTGCTTAATTCAGAGAGAAAGTAAATGTGAGCTAATTGTTTTCTGCTGCAAGATTGGAGCAGTTGATGTCTTGTGATTTAAACTATTAAACTATAAATCACATATTAAATCGGAATTTTGATCAGAAAAATCGTAATTACATTTTTCCTCCACATTATGTAGCCCTTTGACAACGTTACTATATTAAGTTACTGTTAAGTTACTATGGGTAGTGGAAAGCAAACATTTACAGTGAAAATCTATTTTGATTTTCAGCCTGAATCAGCAAGACAGTACATAAATATATTTATAGTAAATTATTGTTTTATAAAAAGTTTTTGGTTACTCATAAATGAAAGTAGGTTAATTTATGTTGTTTTATAATTTTTGTTGTATAATCAACTTAATTTAACATTTCAGCAACCACAACTGTCAGATCCTGCCATAAATCACACAGGTAATTTTACAGTGTGAAATTTGATGTGTAAAATCAAAGTGACAAGCGATAATAATCTGTGTATGATATAAACCCTCATGTGCTGTTCTTACATGAGTAATGAAGGCTTTGTGAAACATGTACCATCAGCAGCCCAACCCAATACCAAAATCCAAAACACTGTTACAAAACTTCCATTCATCCAAAGACACGGAGATGGCAGATAAAACACCTGAAATCCACGTGAGCTACTGGGGCTACTGGGTTCATAAATGGCACAAACAGCCTCCAGGAAAATTCTTCTCAAATGAAAGTGTGAATTTTCAAGCTGAAAAAAGCATTTCTCCCTGCCTGCATGCTACCTGCAGGCTACCCTCAAAAAAGATCATGTCAGTCAAACTTGTGGACTTGCATTACTTGAGATACTATGAAATCTGTTAGTAGCAGAGTTTGACCTAAAGCAAGGGAGTTACTCTAAAACTGCTTAAAATTAAACAAGAGGGAGTTTAAATACTAAGAGAGAAAAAAATCATTCACACATTCACATCTAACAATAATTAAATTATAATTACAGAAAACTGTCCCCACTGGCTTGCTTGGTTTGGACTCGTGGAGCTGCACATCGATGGATTTGCTCTTCAGTGTTTGGACTTTCAGCAGTGAAAATTAAACCACACTGAACTGAACTAAATTGAATTGAATTGAATTTTATTTGACAGATTTTAGACAAACTGTACAAAAAGTATTCCATACACTTTGTTAAAAAAACTGTCAAGGATAAAAACACAATAAAGCCCTG